ATTACATCAATCGTTATTTTTTTTTTTTTTTCAATCAAAGATCCGAGAGCATCGATTCAGAAAATCCTAATTCTGATCATAATCCTGATCATAATCATTGTTTCTTTTCAACTCGGTGATCCATCGATAATATTTATTTATTATACGATGATGATATTTAAAATGCAATTTCACGAGTTCTACCAGCTTATTTTCTTTACAATAATTCTACAATTCGCAACGAACGATCATTTCTACGAACAATTTTTATATTCGAAGTTTCGAGTGATCGGAGGATAGATAATAGCGTCTAAAAAGTATCCGCCGATTTATTATATTCGCAAAACTCGATCGCGTTTTTTTTTAAATCTCGTCGAATGTCGATTTCGAGAGCTGTTCGATCTCGTTTCTTTTTTTCTTTTTTCAATCTCTCTCTTTTAAATCCCCCACCCAAACAGTTTCTTTCGCATAATTTTCATCGATGAAAAGAAATCTTTTAATACTGTATCGTTTGATTAACCCCGAGAGGGGTCGTTCGAAAATATGATTAATGAGTATGGTCCCAAAAGTTTTAAGAAGTAGTTGTTTCTTATCGCGTGGAATACAACGTAGCTTCCGTCTTATAAATATTTTTCAACAAATCTTCCGGAATCAGCCGTAAAGAAGGGACTTCTGGGCATGTGCGTCGTTACGAAAGGAGAAATCAATCGAATTGCGATAAAATAATTTTGAATAATCATAAAGGAGGAAAAACGATTATAAATTTATATTTTGATTCAATTATTAACATCCTAATGTGAAATTTCACTATTACGATTAAAATTTTTTCTTGACCATGATTTCATTTATTCAATCTCTTCGGAGGATCGAATCTTTCACAAAAATTGTTCATTATTTTATTAAGAAAATGATCGTCGAAAATTTAATTTGAAAACTTCGAACAAAGTTTCGAAGTTTTTTTTTTTCAACTCGAAGATCAATGGGATCAAATGGAAATTTTAAATATTGTACATTCGTAGCGACGCGAATGCCTGTGAAAAGTTGAATAATAAATAGTAGCTTGGTACGAGAATCTATCGCTTTTTTAGTACTCTTTTCTAACATTTCGAAAGACGTCCGTATTAATCGATGATACTCTCGATGCGGGGGTTTTATCCGAGACTCAAGGAGCATCGAAATAAACTACAACAATTAATTATCGTTATTAGTAGCCCTTTGTTGTTGCTTCCTATTATATTTACAGAATGTTCCACGATAGTTTGCTGTACATTACGTAAATACTCGTTTTTTTTTCTTGGTGTGTAAATACGATTTTCATCGCGTATTTTTTGTTCGCGTAAAAAGTCTTGCATTGACCGTGATATTTATGCTTCCCTATCTCTTTAATAAAGTTTATCTATCGAAATGAATGAAATTAATGTTGAATTGACAGATGCATAAATGTTGCGTCTAAAGACTTATCGAAGATATTTGTAATTATGTAATTATTTATACGAGACATTGTACTTTTGGAGTTTTGTTTTATTTTGATTACGTATAATTGGTATTTAATTTTTTTTTAATTTTTTATTATTTTTAATTGTTTCGAATTATCGATTATACATTGTAGAAAAATTATATACGATGTAGAAGATTCACGATTTTTAAATAGATATGTTATAGAGAGTTATAGAGCGTTCAATTTTGATTAATAGATTTAAAAAAAATGTCATTAGAATTGAAATTTTGTACCAATTTTTCGATATAATTTACATTATTCGAAACATGGATTTTTGTTCAAATCAAAATTTGCTATACTAATAAAAAGATACATGAATAATATCAAGTATTACAGAATAATAAAAGAAAAAAGAATATACAAAATTTGAAAAATAAAATTTAAATATAAAGTTTATATTAATATAAATTCTTCTCTTATTTCTTCATTAAATCTTGGAATTTTGCTTCGAGAATATATATTGTTAGATATATTCGAAAAAAGGGATAGAATATGGATGAAGGAAGTGGTGTCCAAAAATATATATATCGAGGAGCACAGCGACGCCACGAAATTGTCTAAAACCATCATTTTTATTTAATTCTGGAAACGGCATCCTAATTCGATAATCGCATTCAATCATAAAATATTACGAAATTTCATTTATTTTTTTCTTTAAATTCTTCGATTAAACCAAAATACCACACTCGACAGATTTTTCGTGAGATTTGCCGCTTCTAGAATCAGAAAATTTCTAGAAAACTCTAGAATCGGAGGAAGAATCAGCGCTTCGAAACTGTCAGTCCATGATTCGTTGAAACTATGATATTCGTTAGAATGATTATGCATGGAAGACAAAGGAATAATATATTTATTCGTGGCGTCCCTGCTCCGTGGTAGGTAGATTTTGTATATCACCTTATCTTCTCTCTCTCTTTCTCTCTCTCTCTCTCTCTCTCTCTCTCTCTTCTCTAATTTATCTCCGTCTATTGTACATACAAGAGTTATACCATGAAAATTAGGCAAAAGATTCCGATTGAAAGGAATCGATGGAAATCGATCCAGATGCACTGTCTGCTCTTTAAACAATCGGAACGACGTAATATTGAAAAAATGATCGATACTCCTTGGTCTCATATATTTTTATAATCTACAATAATAATATACTCGCAGTTATATAATAGTCGAGGGATAGGGAGGCATTATTATTATTATGATTGTAAAAGTAACATCGATCATCTACATTTTTTCTCTTTCTCTCTTTCTCTCTCTCTCTCTCTCTCTCTCTCTTTTCTTTTCACCAATATCAACAATATATATTTATTAAATACGAATTCTGAGTAGCAATGAATTCACGCGCCGTAAAGATCTCTGGTTTCGTTTAGTTTCGCGCAGAAAAATCTCTGATCCTCGGATGATCATCAATTAACCAAGAGGATATATATATATGTACATATATAATATATATTGCCTGCATTTCGTTCTCGTTAACGAATTAATTAAAAACAAATCTCCACAGTACGTATGAAGACTAGATAGCTTCGTTGAATGTTCGTTTCATTCAACGCGATCGATGGGAACATGGAAATAATACTGTTGTTTCATATCTTTATTATTATTATTATTATTATTATTATTATTATTATTATTAAATACTAGAGCTGTAACAATTTAATTTTTACTTTGTAACTCTTTTTACTCCTTACTTCACTGCGCGATTTCGAGAATTTGTTTTTTCCATTTTTTTTTTTTTCCTTTTCTTTTCTTTTCTTTTTTTTCTCTTTTTGATATACGATGAATCTCTCGGTTAGAATGCCGCTTTGTTCGATTATGGACGAGTTTAGTGTCGTGTTCATATAAAATTTTATATATATCTTACTTGAAGTGCGTCTCTAAACATACATCGATG